GGAACAAGAAGCTACTAGTAGCTCCTGGCCTTACTACTAGGAGCAAGGATGCTACTAGGAGCGGTCAGGGCATCGCTACGAACGGAGCGATCGGATCGCGACCAGTAGCTGTTGCCTGCTACAGTCGTTTGCCATTCGCGTCTCTGCGCCTGTTGACCTGTTCACCGGTCTCTTCATCCTGGTGCCGAAAACAAAAGGAGTACAGAAAGAAAAGGTAAAAGAAAGAAAGAACATCAAGTGTTCTTACTTATGTGCTTACTTAATCTTACTTAATCTTACTTACCTTTACCTTTACTTTATTTTACTTTCATATCTTCTGTTCTTTTCATTGTTCTTGTCTATTTTTCGCTCTGTCTTTCTACCCATCAAAAAAACACGTTCTTCCAAGTCCACCAACAACAAGCTCGCTCCTCGCCATCAAAGCTCATGTCCATGAAGCTTGTCCAATCCTCACCGGGCCTCCAGCATCACATCGTCTTTAGACTGTGTTCCGGAATAAAAAAGGAAACAAGCATGCCTGCCTTTTCTTTCTTTCTGTCTGTCTGTCTCTGTCTCTGTCTCTCTCTCTCTCTCTGTTTATCTGTTTTTCTTCCTCTAGACCTTTACCAAGCCTTTGGACCTTGTTTCTGCCCTTCCGTTTCTTTATTGTTTCCGCCCTTTCTTTGGACCTTCCTTTTAAATCTCTTGCCTGGCCCTGGGCTCAGCCAGCGGATCTGGTTCAGGCTGCTCCTTCGTCAAAACGACAACTGAAAAACTGACCCAAAACCAAAGGAATGAGTCAAACCTTAATAAAACAAAGGAAACGGAGTATGAACAAGAATGAGTCCAGCTTCTAAGTGGTTAAAAGTACGTAAAGCGCGGTTTGAAGGTGCAACGTAGTTTTTCAAGGTATCCTTCTAAAGGTAGGAGGACTCCTTAGGACCTCCACCTTTGGAATCAGCGTTGTTGCTTCGCAGCCTTCCAAATCGTCCGTCGCCTGCTCCTTCTCAAGCTCATCGTTTTCTTCTTCACCCCAGGAGGTGCCAGGAATAGGAGCCCCATTCAGAAACTCCTCCAACAAACAAAAACAGAACCAAACATACAGTAACAAATCTTTCAATGGTGATGATTCTTGTACTTTGTTGGGAGGGTTGGGCCGACAACGGGAGGAAGGAGGGTAAGTTGCTTGAGTAGTTGGAGCACCGCCCATAGAGGGCCGTGGTGTTTCGTGTTGTTTTTGATGTTTTTACGCGTTTTTCTTGTGATAAGCATGGGTTCTGGAGGGTGGGGGGGGTGGGGCTGGGATAATAACGTCCGTTGTCGATGCAATATAGGTTGTGAGTCACGGTCTCTTCCACGGAAAAGTACTTATATGTTCCATCAATGTATATCAATGTCATTCTTTAATGCGTTATTCTTGGCACAGTGTCATTTTCCGTCAAGCGCGTGCGTTGTATACCGCAGTTTTCCAGGTCTCAGTATGGTGCAGTTTTCCTTTCTTTCTGCTTTGTCTCTTGCTGTCATTTTTGGTTGCGCGGTTGGGACACTGGACAGGGGTGGATGAAGTTCCGCACTTGGTTTGAGGTGCACCCGTTCCACATTGATAGCCTGTTGAAGACCTTTTGTGATGCTTCCACCCCTGATCCATTTGTGGCTGCCACTCTCATTGTATTGCAATCAGATAGATGGCCTCTCAACTTTGATGCGTTGCATGAGAACTATTTGCTGTTGCTTACAGTTTGGCACTTCTTCTACCAAGAATTGTTACTACGCAGGCGTGTACCAGTTACTCTTACATCCGCGTTGGTTGATTTCTCCAATAGGTTGTTCAAAACCTGTTCAAAATTCCCCCCTGTATGACATCGTTCGCCATGCTTGGAGAAGCAGTGGCATCCAGCAGATGATCGAAGACATATCCCTCCAAACATGTCCAAAAAATACGATAGTTGGGGGCAACTTCTTTTAACTGTTGATGTCGCCATTCTACTGGTGAGTAATTTGAACAATGGTTTCCCAATGTAATTACGGCATTTCATGTTGACCATTACTACTAGTAACAAGAAGCTACTAGTAACAGGTGCATCGCTAGTAGTAACAGGTGCCTTACTAGTAGTAACAAGAAGCTACTAGGAACAATAAGCTTCTAGTAGCAGGAAACTGAACACATTTTTCCCCAATCTAATTCCGGGCATCTGAGACATGATCAGACATGTCATTTCGACCTACGGCCCTCTATGGGCGGTGGACCGAGTAGTTAGTGAACGACAGGAAGCTATACCTGAGGTGGTTGTTCAAAAAAGGCTAAGGCAGGTCCGAAGCACGCTTTCTTGTGCGCAGAAGGAAGGAGCGAGGAGTGCATTGTAAAGGAGGTCTGAGGAAGAAAGCTCCTTCAAAACAAACAGGTAGAATAATATATAGCATCCTTTGAATCCTTTGTTACTAGTAGCTTCTTGTTCCTAGTAGCGATGCCCTTGCTCCTAGTAGAGTGGATTCACCCAACTCTTGCCGATCCGCACCTCCAACTCTCTGTTGGGCTTCATCGGCTCCTGTGCTTGTCGCAGGATGTTTTGCCGCTCATCGAGTGCAACGAAGCTCCGATCTCTGAAGTGTTTCAGGTCGTGGCCATCACTTCCCCTTGGAGGCCATCGCTAGTGGGGTTGGAGGCCATCGCCATCTTCTACAGACCGTTAGATCAATCGACCTTCTTCCGCCACACAGGGCCGCATGGGGACGGTGTTGCTTCACTGAAACAATCCGGACCAAAGCCCTGGTGGAAGCAAAACAAAGCGAGGGGGCAAAGTGTTTCTTGTGAATCAGATACAACGAGTGGTGGGTTTTAGAGCTTGCTACGCCTTCCTGGTGACGCTTTGTTAGGAACCGTGCCCTGCTGGGCCTCAGGTCGTTCTTCATCGACCGAGTTTGAAAAAGACTCCGCCCAGAGGTGACTGTTTGTTGCAAGTTATCTCATAACATAGCATTGGCATAGCTAGCAGCTAACTAGTGTGGTAGATTTTTCGGTGTTTGTCTTTGTCTTTGAACTCTAGACACTTGCTTTTCCTTCCCTTTCCTTTCTAGTAGTAACAAGAAGCTACTAGGAACAAGTGCATCGCTTCTAGTAACAAGTGCCTTACTAGTAGTAACAAGAAGCTACTAGGTTCCTTTCTGCCTTCCTTTTTGAGAAGAACGCGGTACATCTTCGTACCGATCAACCACACCTCCGCGGCCTCAGGCGGCACCGCTGCACCTTTTTCCACAAAAGCACAAACAGAGTAAATAAATGAACGCTTCAAGAAAGGCCTTAAGGCCTTTCTTTGGTTTCAGAATGACTCAGTGCTTCCCAAGGGGTTCATAGCTGGTAAGAGACTAGTTCTTTTCGGTTCTTCCTTTTGTTCTTTAGACTTGTCTTGCTTCAAACTTGCTTCCTTCCTTTTTTGCTTCCTTCCTTTCCTACTCTTCACAAGAGATTGTCTTTACGACTTGACCATATCTGTTGAAAAAGAGAAAAATGAAAACTTGCCTGGCACGTCAATGCCCCATGCCAGAGGCTCCTCCGTGTGGCCTCGCGACTGAACAGGCCAAATTTCTCGATTTTACTCGCTTCTAGTAACAAGTGCCTTACTAGTAGTAACAAGAAGCTAGTAGTAACAAGTGCCACGCTACTAGGAACAGGTGCCTTACTAGTAGTAACAAGAAGCTTGACCTTTGCATCTAAAGAAACACACCGAAGCGAGGCAACAGAATGACTAGAGTGGTTGGACGTGCGCCTGATAAGGAAAAACAAATAAAGGCCTAGAATTCCACAGCAACAATGAGAAAAGAAGAGTTATGAATGACAGACAGTCAGATCGTCGATGGTTCTTGAGTAAGCTACCAGTAACTGGATGCAGGATAGCTCTTGCACTATGCATTTGGTTCTACCTACTAGCAATGGCCTCCAACCTCTTTCATGTTCATCGATTTAACTACCCTCACTTGGCTTTGCACTGTTTGATTCCTGGGGTCCAAGCCATTTGTGGTTCTTCCTAGTCCTCACACTGCTCTGCTTCACTCAGTCTCTAATAGCGATGGCCTCCAACCTCCAACCTAAACAAATGAAGAACAATCCACCCTCAACTCAGCTTGGGCTCCTTGGTCTGCCTGCTCTTTGAACTTCCCCTGCATGCACTGCATGCACGGCCAAAAGAAAAGAATCCTCTCAAAGAAATGCGCTCTCCAAGAACAGTGTTTGGACTCAAAATTCTTGATGCCTTGTGTTTTTGTTTCTGTTGCATTTCCTATATTATATAGTAGGTGATGGCCTCCAACCTACTAGCGATGGCCTCCGACTCAGTCTACATGATCGATAAGTAAACAGCATAAGTTATTGTCATTTACTACTTCTATTTGACGAGCGATGGCCTCCACCCTAGTAGTGATGGCCCCCACCCTAGTAACGATGTGTTTTTGTTTCTGTCTTTCTTGCTTTTTTACACGCGCGCCTTGCGGAAGTCTTTGCCAAAGTCTTTTCCTTTACCCTTGTCGCCTTTGCCTTTTCCGCCTTTTCCACCTTTTCCATCTTTCCCTTTCCCTGACAGCTGGCGCATTGCGTTACCAAAGACTTGACACACACAGCAACACGCCAAAGCCACGCCTTTCAAACCTTTCGGGTTCCACACGGGTGCTTGACTTGCTTGGCCTCCAAGAATGGAAGTTGCAGCTCAAGAAACTCTTATACGAGCTGGGTCGGTCTGAGAGAGGGCAAATCCGTCATTCTTCACTCTAGACAGCGGCTCATGTGGTAAGCACAAGATATTACAGGAATCGATTCTGAAGAACACTCTCTTTCAGGCCGGCTTTGGCAAGAACACTCTTAGTACCAAGACCGTCTTTTAGCAAGAACCCTTCACTGATTAAAAGGCCTTTGCTCCCACCATCCACAAGAACTCTTCCCTCGCATTTGCCTGTAGGCCCTACGCTGCATCCCTCGTGGATCAGCCGCTGCAGAATCTTTGCTAGATTGCTCACGTCGTCCATTCCTCGGACGAAACTAGGAGCAAAGGGCATCGCTACTAGGAGCAAGGAAGCTACTAGGGGCTCCTGGCCTTACTACTAGGAGCAAGGACGCTACTAGGGGCTCCTGGCCTTACTACTAGGAGCAAGGACGCTACTAGGGGCTCCTGGCATCGCTACTAGGAGCAAAGGGCATCGCTACTAGGGGCTCCTGGCCTTACTACTAGGAGCAAGGACGCTACTAGGGGCTCCTGGCCTTACTACTAGGAGCAAGGACGCTACTAGGGGCTCCGGATGTTGCTGGAAAATAATCTCACCTCCAACCTAAGAGCGATGGATGGCCTCCAACTACTAGCAAGGGCCTCCAACCCAGTAGCGGTGGCCTCCAACCTAGTAGCGGTGGCCTCCAACCTACTAGCGGTGGCCTCAAACCTACTAGCAATGGACTCCAACCTACTAGCAGTGGCTTCCAACCTACTAGTGATGGCCTCCAACCTAATAGCGATGGCCAGGGATGGCCTCCAACCTGCTAGCAATGCCCTCCAACCTCCAACCTACTAGCGATGGCCTCCCACCTAAGAGCCTCCAATAGCGATGGCCTCCAACCTAATAGCAATGGCCTCACACCTAAGAAGACAAAGAAAAGAATGGTCAATCAAGTCTCAAGGTCGTCAAATGACACAATGAAGGTCATGACAAAGGCTGACGGTCTGAAGACGTCTGAGTATGCTCGTACCAAAGCAAAGGTTGGAGGCCATCGCTATTAGGTTGGAAGCCATTGCTGAGTCTATGGTCTTTCTTCCGAAGTACGCATGTCAGCTGCCGTTTCCTCATTTCCTTTAGCTGCTCTCAGCAGCTCTCAACTCCTAAGCCGCTTGCCCAAGTGGTGCTGACCAGAAAGAGGTATCCTGACCAGTTGCAACGCTCCAAACGTGTTTTTCAACAGTCTTTTCTCGCTTGGAACAAGAAGCTACTAGGGGCTGCTGGCATCGCTACTAGGAGCAACGACGCTACTAGAGGCTCATGGCCTTACTACTAGGAACAAGGAGGCTACTAGGAACGTTCCGAAGAAAGAAGGTCGTCGGGCAAAGCCTTAACATCTTGAGCATGCCACGCATACCGGTGGGAGCCGAATTGACCGGTAGCTTGTAGAAGTCTCTGAAGACCTGCCAGTTCCACTTGTTTCTGCAGAATTCGCAGACAGCTTCCCTAACTGGGGTCATGCATTGTTTCTACTAGCTTCTTGTTACTACTAGTAAGGCACTTGTTACTAGAAGCGATGCACTTGTTCCTAGTAGCTTCTTGTTACTAACTTGCTTCCCTAACTTCCTGCCTCTTTCAGGTTGCTCCAGCGCGAGAAAAGCAACTTCTGCAGGGAAAGGTCAACAGTGCCTCACAGGATTTGATGCGAAAGAACAGTGCAGGTCACTAAGCAACAGCATCTAGCGTATACATTTTTCTGCACAAGTGCATCGCTTCTAGTAACAAGTGCCTTACTAGTAGTAACAAGAAGCTACTAGTAACAAGTGCCACGCTAGTAGTAACAAGTGCCTCTAGAGGCGACGGCGCACACGGCGCACACAGAGTGCCGGGCCTGGTGCAGGGTTGCAACATTGCCTTGGGATCGCGGACTTCACCTTGGGGTAAGAGCAATAGCAAAAGGAACCTAAAGTGCAATGGCCTCCAACCTAATAGCTTCTTGCTCCTAGTAGTAAGGCCAGGACCTACTAGCGTCCTTGCTCCTAGTAGTGATGCCCTTTGCTCCTAGTAGCAAAAGGAACCTAAGTGTGGCATTTCAGCCATCTTTGCACGCCCAAGGAACATCCCAGTTGCCACAGGTGACAAAAAGAAAGTCTTCGCTCCTGCAAATTGAACAACAAAGGACAAATTTGTTTTAAATTGCTTTTAGGTTGGAGGCCATCACTTTTAAGTTGGACGCCATCGCTCTCAGGTTGGAGGCCATCGCTAGTAGGTTGGAGGCCATAGCGATTCACAGTGGACAACATAGATTCCTCTTTATTTGGGGTGACCTAAAACACATGACTTCTTGTAAACGGTCTAAACGTACCCCTTCTTTTTAAAGCGTAATTGTATTTAGAATGCAGCATTCACAAGGTGCTTACTTGCGTTATCATGAGTAGCGGGTGTTCATTCCAAATCTAAGGCCAAAAAAGTCCCGAGAGACAAAGAAAGGCTCCAAGGTCCAAACAATAATCTTTAAAAAACATAGTAGCAAGCGCATCGCTACTCGTAACAAGGGCATTGCTACTAGGGTTTAGGGTTTGTATCGAAATGGAATGAAGGTACAAGAAGCTACTAGTAACAAGTGCATCGCTTCTAGTAACAAGTGCCTTACTAGTAGTAACAAGAAGCTACTAGTAACAAGTAGCAAATTGCCCTTGTTCAGTAGCAAGGTGAGAGAAAAGTGCTCCAGTTCCGCTCCGGCCTGAGCTCTCCGGGTTCCTTGTTCAGCAGCTCTCGCAACCAGTTCAGCAAGTCATCGACCACCTTCAGATTTGGTGAAGCTTCCCTACTGCAAGTCATTTGGAGGAAAGTCTAAAGTCATTCAGTTCGTTTTTTTTAGGGATGCCAAACGATCCTTAGAACACTAGTGGCAACATATTTGCAGAAAAAAGTCCAGAGGAATGTCAAGGCCCCTTTGAGAAGGTCCCTCTAAAGGGAACTTGATTCAGGGCGTTCCCTTTTGCGGGAATCTGTTCCATCGACTGGATTTTAAGCGTCCTGCACTTGGCTTCTGTCTCTAAGCGTGGACCCCGCGTGCCCCCTGTGCAAGCACGCTGCCAGCACGGATTTGTTAACCACCTGCACCCACCAAGCTACTAGTAGCAAAGGGCATCGCTACTAGGAGCAAGAACTCTAATTACTAGGAACAAGGGCATTACTTTCAGCGATATCACATTGAAGCTCAGCAAGTTACGCTCAAACGTATTTACAGTTGTTGTTTTCGCAGTCTGCTGTTGTGTAAAGCATCACGGAAGCGTTCTCCGTGCGTTAATCACGCTGATGTTTCCTGTTGTCAGTTGCAAGTCGATCTGGAACACCAAGTCGTCCTGCTTGATCTCCTTGTGATGTTTTATCCATGGTATTGTTGGAGCTGTGGTATTTTTTTGCAGAGAGAACCTCTGGACGTGCTTCTCTTTGGTGAGGGGATATGTGTGTTGAAGGTAGGTATTCTGCAGCGTCAGGGAGCTGCGATTTCATTGTGTTTTTGTGTTTTCCCTGGAGAAGCTTTGCTTGCACACGGGAAGAATCCCAGCCACTTGTGGTATCCAGGAGGACAAAGTGATTCGATCGGCCTTGCTTTTGGCCAACACTTTCAGGCTCTGTGTGATATTGATATATATAATATATATATATATATGCGGCCGATAGGAACTAAGGCACAACAAATGAACAACAAAACAACAGGTCCCAGCAACATGGTTTCGCTTTGAAACTTCTGCCCACCAACTCTGGAGGTTACCCTCACCAGAAAGGACTTTTCATCTCGAAAGAAGAGAGCCCGACTGAACTGCTGTGCCTCTGGAAAGGAGATGGAATTCGCTCCGTTGTTAAAGCAATTGGCATTGAAGCGATTTCGCATTGACCACTCCTGTCATTCCAGTGTCCATCCAGTATGGTGCTAGGTTCGATATGTGAGCGGCTCTTGATCAATTTTCTCAGCGGTTTTCGCTCCATTCTGTACTTAAAACAAGAAACTACTAGTAATAAGAAGCTACCAGGGGCTCCTGGCCCTACCACTAGGAGCAAGGACGCTACCCGGGGGCTCCTGGCATCGCTACTAGGAGCATTCTTACTACTAGGAACAAGAAGCTAGTAGTAACAAGTGCCACGCTACTAGGAACAGGTGCCTTACTAGTAGTAACAAGAAGCTACTAGGAACAAAGCAAAAACCTTTTGAAGATAACAACAGCCTCTCGGGTCCAATAGCCAGGACGAACGAACCGATGAAATCGACCAAGCTCCTTCCTTAGTGTCTGCCCGTATAATGTTCTCTTCTCTTTTGGGAGCCTTGGCCCCCTTTTGTGACAGGGTTTGAGGAAATTATCCGTTCGACCTGTCTTCCATTGTCTCTAGTTTCTTGCTTTCAGACCTTTCCTTTGTCTTTCTTCTTTTCTGAAACATGTCGGTTGTCCGTTCTTTGAAGACGAGAAGCCCTGTGGTCGGGCACATGGACAGGACCGGCACCTGGCCAACAAGAGCATGTTCGTCCTTTGTTCCTAGTAGCTTCTTGTTACTATCAGTAACAAGTGCCACGCTACTAGGAACAAGTGCCTTACTAGTAGTGACAAGAAGCTATTAGACTTAAATTTAAATTACTTGTTACTAATAGCTTCTTGGTCCTAGCAGTAAGAATGTTCCTAGTAGCGATGCCAGGAGCCCCTAGTAGCGCCCTTGCTCCTAGTAGCGATGCCAGGAGCCCCTAGTAGCTTCTTGTTACTAGTAGCTTCTTAATAAGAACAGAATTCGGAAAGCCATCAAGCACTTGCCTCAATGATCTCATCTTCACCGTCTCTGCCATCCTTCGAACTTCACACGTCTTGCATTGACCAAAAGAGTGTTTGGAAACGAAACGAAGTAGAAAGGGGTGAGAAGTAGGAAATGGAAAACAAATGGTCTAAAGGTTCAAAAAGAAGAACAAGTAACAACAACACATGTTGTTCACTCTTGTAAGGACGATCAAAAAGGAAGGATCTGTCCGCTACATCCAGTTACCTGTTGCTCCCATTGCTTCTTGACTCATTCTTCGTCCTTGTTGCCTCCGCCCTCCAAGTCAAGGAGCAAAAGCACAGGCCTTGGAATCCAAAACAGAATCCAACCTACTACCTACTAGCAATCCATCAATTTGTTCCTCAATTTTCACAGCTTCTTGCTCCTAGTAGTAAGGCCAGGAGCCCCTAGTAGCGTCCGATCGCTCCTAGTAGCGATGCCCTGACCGCTCCTAGTAGCTTCTTGTTACTACTAGTAAGGCACTTGTTACTAGAAGCGATGCACTTGTTCCTAGTAGCAAGAATGCTCCTAGTAGCTTCTTGTTCCTAGTAGTATGGTCAGCGTTCTTGCTCCTAGTAGCGATGCACTTGTTACTAATAGCTTCTTGTTACTACTAGTAAGGCACCTGTTACTACTAGCGTGGCACTTGTTACTAATGGCTTCTTGTTCACTGTGAGGTCCCTGCTGACCCATCTCAGCTGGTTCTGCTGGACCTTGTGCCACCCAGTCCGCTTCAGCCTTGAGCGCTGCAGTGGTGTCGTGGAGCCCATTGCGGCATCCCGTCTCGGAGTGGAACTTGCAAAAGCCCGCGGCGTACCTGAGACGGAGCGGAATGCCGACGTTGATTTCTGCCAAACGTCAGAGAGAGAGGGAACGAATATGAAATAGAAGGCAAGAAAACGAAAACTCGCTACTGGTAGCACCAAGCTACGCTACTAGGTGGAGGCCGCTATTAGGCCATCGCTGCTACTAGGCTGGAGGCAATTGTAAGGAACATGAAAACGCAACGTGCTTGTACAAACCTGAGACCTCACGTTTAAGAATCCAGCCACTTGCAAATCCCTTGTTGAAAGCCGGCACCTGAGAGAAAGACAGGGGGTTTTAAGCTAACCTACTAACGATGGCCTCCACCCTAAGAGCGACGACCTCCAACCAAATACTAAAAAACAGTGTCACTTCGCTACAAAAAGCGTGAGTGTTCTTCGAAGTGATCGACTTGGAGTCTTCGAAAGAGGTGTTCTGCACCAGAGTCCGCAGTGTCCCAAACGGATGTTTGTGTGCCTTAAAATGTAAAAAGAAAACATAGCATCGTTGCTTCTAGTAGTACGGCCAGGAGCCCCTAGTAGCATTCTTGCTCCGTTCGTACCGATGCCCTGACCGCTCCTAGTAGCGTCTTTTGTGCAGCGTGGAGGCCATCGCTATCAGGTTGAAGTGTATCTTGTTTCTAGTAGCTTCTTGTTACTACTAGTAAGGCACCTGTTACTACTAGCGTGGCACCTGTTACTAGTAGCTTCTTGTCATTCATGTCTCTTTCAGCGTCCTCCGTCAACCACCGGGGAGCCCGGCGTCCACCGGCACCTTCACCAACGAGATCGCTCGCCAAATTCATGGGTGTTCCCTTGCCTAGCCACATCCGCACAGGATGTCTGCGTTCAAGCTGACTGTCAAGCTGCTTCCAAGATCTTGAAAATCAATCAAGTGAAACAAGTATGTCCAACGATTTTCGGGATTCCAAAGAACGTAAGTGCCAACATCTGCACGAACGTTGGTACGATGTCCAAGGATCGAACGTTGGCCTTTGCCTTTACCTTTGCCTTTGCGCCCTTGTGCCTGGCAGGTGTCCATTGTACGAACCAGCGGTGTCTGCGGCCGCTTGACTTGTAGCGGTTGCTTGCAATTTCCAACAGGATTGTCTCCGGCCTTCTATTTCGAACACAAATGACGATTGGTGCTACCCAAGAATCTGGTATTGCTCCTTCCTTCTTTCCTTCTTTCCTTCCTTCCTTGAAGCATAAAGACCGTGTTCTTTCTTGCTTGCTTTCCTTCTTCCCATGCGCTCGTAGGTTGGAGGCCATCTTCTTCTTTTGTTGAGACCATCGCTTCTCCTTTTCGTGTTTGCACCGATTCTTTGACCTCATCGCCACATGCACATCATGTCGCCTGTCCAGCCATGGCCACTGACACGGCCTCCTGCAAAAGTGCCTTGGCCTGAGAATGAGAGGACTTTTCGTACAAAAGCACGAAACAGAAGTAAAGGAAGGTGAAGCTACAACCTGTTTTGGGCTCACTACCAGCAACAACTTCTCGACTAACGTATGTCTTCATTGCATGTGGGCAAACAGGTGAAACCGGAGCACCAAAAACGTCAACTCGCCTTCGCCACTGCATCTGCTGGACCACTGATGAGGCAGCAACGAGTGAGAGGTAAATAGCCTGAACAGCTTGCCAAAAGAAGCCACTGCGCATGGGCTCATCACCTTTTGCAGTGCTCAACACCTTCCCCGTACCTGTCATAGGGCAACTGCTGGCCTCGTACTAGCCTTCTTGTTGCGGAATTGGGAAAAAGAAAGATCTAAAGGCCCACACGGAACGACAAAAAAGGACAGAAGGAAAGCTAAAGCTTCTTGTTACTAGTAGCTAAAGCTTTTGTTGTCTAAAAGGCAGGTAGAGAGGTAGTGATGTCCACGACCGTCAGTCGACCTCACCTGGCTGATACTCCTCCTGTTCAAAAGACATTCGGGCACCTGACCTCAGCCAAGAGCCAAGACATTTGCGGAGCAAATGGGGTGACGTGATGCAAACTAATCTCGAACTCGAGGCCATCGCTATTAGGTCGGAAGCCATTGCAGTGTGTTGAAGTGATGCAAAGAAACATACTAATCTCTGAGATTAGCAAGTTGCTAAAGTTTATTCCGTTTCTCAAAGCGCTGAACAATGTCTACACTTGAGAAAAAAATATAAACATGTCTAGGACTCTCGTCTGCAGGCCCTGGCTCGGCCGCCATCTGCTTGATGGCAGCACCGCCAGTGCCAATGATGGCACCAATCACCTCCGCGACTGTCCAAAATCGGATCTAGAGAGTGCCTCCAAAGTGCTTGTTTAAAGGAGTCAGAATATAATTTTGCTAAGAGCGATGGCCTCCAACCTACTAGCGATGGCCTTCAACCTAAGAGAGTGCTTGTTTTAAGGTTTGCTTGTCTGTCTTTTGACCTTCTTGCCTTGTGTCCTTGTCCTTTCTTTTCTTGTCCATGTTCCTTCAAATGTTGTTTTTGTGAACCGTTCTGTGTATTCTTTCCTTTCGTCAAACAAGAGTGCCATAAAGGTTACCTTGGTTTTTTCTTCAACCTCTTGATTGTTCCTTTTCTGTTCCTTCTTTGAACAAAAGCACTAAAAGGGTCTGGAGATTCTAAAAAGCACCCTTTTCTGCGACGAAGGTAGAGGATTCTGGCACAGATTACAGCATTCCTGTCTCGAAGGTAGAGAGCACCACAATCTATTCTTCTTCACCTTTTCACCCTCTCTTTAGCCTGCTGTCCTTGCCCTTGGTCCTGACAAGCGTGAAAAACAAGCTGCGGAAGCAGACCTGCACAGGGACCTCCATCGAGTCTTTCACCAAGGACGAAGAGGACGAGGATGTTTTGGCCTCACAAGATTGCAAGTCCTTTTTCTCGCTGTGTTCTATGCTTTTGCAATGAAAGGCAAATGTTCCTTTAGTTTAAAGAATCCTTCTTTTCAATCCGTGATTTTTCGGTTGGAGGCCATCGCTAGTAGTTAAGAAGTTCTTTTAGTAGCGTCCGATCGCTCCTAGTAGCGATGCCCTTTGCTCCGAACGTAGCGTCCGATCGCTCCTTGTTGTTTCGTTTTTCCCTATTCTCTTTTCGAATCAAAAGGACTCACTCGGCAGCGTGGCACTGACCGGCCTCCATGTCGCCACGGGACTCCCTGGCTGCGAGCTCCGCTTGAAGGCCTCAGAAAGGACATAGGAAAAAGAGATGGTTTATATGTTTAAAATAGTACTGAATAACAATAAAAAGTAGTACTAAATATTGAAGAACATCGGAATTTCAAATTTAACGGAAACAGTTTCAAACATGTTTGTCCCTTTCAATCGGCTTAATTGAAAATCTGTCTTCCGAAACTTGAGCAAAAATAAGCACTGCGATAATGAAGTGATGTCAAGGCAAGTGAATTCTGACTCAACGTCTTTGAGCAAAAACAAACTGCCAAAAGAGCCAGGAACAGGTTGCCGGAATCAGTGACGCCCTTACAGTTTGGGTCCGGACAACGATTGGCAACAAGATTTCTGCTATGAGGATTAATATCATGATGCTCTCCAATGCCAAACACCCACTGTCTCAACCAAAGGCTCCATTTCAAAGATCAGGAGTGCAACAACAACAACAATCGCCGGCACCCCTGCTACAACAAGGCTATTTATACCACCAGTCTCCGGTGTTGTTCTGCTGCTGGGTGGTCATACCCGTTGCTAAATTCAAGATCCGCTTACAATGTCCCTAGTAGCGATGGCCTCCAACCTAAGAGCGATGGCCTCCACCCTACTAGCGATGACCTCCAACCTACTAGCTTAAATGTTCAACTAGATGACTAGAGCTGCCTTGATTCAAAAATACATATGCAACAAGCTGCTTGCCAATGTCTCCTCATCCCCAGCCAGCTCAGCCTCAACACAGAGGGTAAAAGGTGCAACCCAAGCAACTGGAGATTGAAGTTGACAGGGTAGGTACGCTATTCGTTTAAGACTGATTGAAATCTGCCTTCGTGGCAGAAAGCATTGTGGTTCTTGGTGGTTCAAGGTCGAAGACGAAAGACTTTCAGAGGCCGATGTGAAAACTCATTTAGGCGTGAGATGTTCAAGGAGCAAAAGGAAACAAAACAGGAAACAAGATGGAAACAAGAGGTCTATATAAAGAGAAAAGGAAAACACACAGCGAAAGGAAGAGTGAGAAAAGAAACGAGTCAAAAGAATAGATTTCAAACAAAGACTTCAATGGTCAGGAGGTCAGGCCGCGTCGGCTGCGGGCGTGCCTCCAAGATTGCAGCTGCCAATTCATTGGAATCCTGGAATGACAGCACAATCACCTAATAGCAATGGCCTCCAACCTACGAGCGATGGCGTCCAACCTACTAGCAACGACAGCACAGTCACAACAGTGACTCAACCTTTCCAGCCACAACTGTGTCACAACCTGGAAAACATCGGCACACAGGCTAGTCATAGGATCAAATCTTGCAAACTCCTAAGTCGGCCAGAGGCTGTGCTAGGATAGCTTCTTGTTACTAGTAGTAATGGCCTGCAACCTACTAGCGATGGCCTCCAACCTAATAGCAATGGCCTCCAACCTACTAGCTTCTAGCTACTAGTAGCTTCTTGTTACTAGTAGTAATTAATGCACTTGTTACTTGCACTCCAACCTCTCAAGAAAAAGCGCTGCGCCAGTCCAGCGCCACTTCCGTCGGCTGAAGTATATCGGCTTGAACGCCCGCTGAAGTAGCGTCTAAGGGATCTGCGTCGAAGCTCAGATCAATATCTTCTGTCTCATAACCTGAAGAATGCTCATCTCTCAAACAATAGCACCTTTCTTTTGTCTTTCCTATTGTTCTTGCTTTCGTTAGACAAATACGTCCTTTTTAGTTCTTTCCTTTCTTATTTTTCCTTAGAACATCTCTCAGAAGGTCATGAACCGACCTGCCCAATCTGTCATTTCTCAAGCGCTGTGCCTCGATGAAGAAGCAAGTTGTCCGGTTTGATTGCTTTGGACTCTCCGTTGTGCAGCAAAACCTCCGGGATCTGGGATCCCTCGTAGCATGAAAATCATTGAAACTTGTTTCTAATAGCAAACATTGTTCCTAGTAGCGATGCCAGGAGCCCCTAGTAGCTTCTTGTTACTACTAGTAAGGCACTTGTTACTACTAGCGTGGCACTTGTTACTAGTAGCGATGCACTTGTTCCTAGTAGTAAGGCCAGGAGCCCCGAACGTAGCGTCCTTGCTCCTAGTGGCGATGCCCTGACCGCTCCGAACGTAGCGTCCGATGCTCTGAAACGTTTTGCAAAAGAAAAGCCTGCCAGCGCCCCAGAGTCTCATCAAACGACAAGAGCTTGCCCAAAAGGCCATTGAGAGACACGGCAGATTGCAGTCCTTACTCGGCAAAGCTGTGAGCAGAAAAAGGTGCGACACTTACCTGATCGAAACAGTTACTAACGAAAGTGTTCCGCATTCTTACGCGTAGCGAGGACGCTATCAGTCGCAAGGTGCATCGCTACGAACGGAGCGATCGGACGCTACGAACGTAGCTCCTGGCCTCCCAGTAAGAAGCGATGGCCTCCGACCTACTAGCGTTCCGCATTCTTACGGTCCCAGGTGTTTAGAAGAGTGATTACTGTTCGTAGCAAGGCATACAAAAGCAAAGGGACCCAAGGTCTTGTAGCAGAGAGTAGTACTGACAGTTCCAAGTTCTTGTTGATAAGAAGGGATGTGTTCTAACCGCCAAGCAAAGATGTGTCCCAAGAAATGCAGCCAAACTGCCGTGGACTTGGATTTCAGCGCCAGGCACCAAAATGTCATGCTCCTCACGATCAATTGTCACCACAACGTCATGGGATGTCAACAAACGTCACAGAAGGTCAGAGCAAGGCCAAATGAGGTCATCGCTGGTTGGAGGCCGCGCTGGTAGGTTGGAGGCCATTGCTATTAGATTCCACTTTAAGGCGAGTGATGTGTCCACTAGCAAGACTTCATAGGCTCCCGTGATCCTCATCACCCTTGTCCATCTCATCTTCCTCGATCTCGACTAAGAACAGATTTTCACTCTTGATGCTGGCATTCACTTCACAAATGGAGCCATCTTCAGACCAAAACTCCACCTGCAGAAAGGTCTTGTGCACTGAAGAAAGCTTTCCCCACGCTCCATGGAGCAAGGGAATGTCGTCTGTCCCATGTTTCTCCATGTTTCCATGTCTTCTTGAATTCATGGAAACATTGTTTGCACGGTGCAGTTTTGGCGTGGTCTGTGCAGAGTCTGTGCAGAGGCCTCTAACCTAGTAGCGATGGCCTCCAACACCCCTTTCACGCCTGCCATCGCCCCTCTCGATCTGCATCCTTTTGCTTCACGACACCCACGCGACCATTGAGAGCCTGAGACCGACTGCAGCGACTCTTCGGGGACCGTGTTGCCACTGAAAGAACCGCTGCGTATGAATTGGTGGAACGATGGTTCCTTCCTGCGAAATCAACAAATCACCCTGTGTCTGTTCTTTTTTCCTTCCTTACCTCAACATTACCTCAACATTACCTCAATTGCTCTTGAGACCATTTTCCGTCGGCGGTTCCCCGTCTGCCTGGGCTTGTTTCAGGTTCTCCGCTCGGACGTAGACGCCCGGCTGAAGCGCCCTGATCTTCGTCGCCTCGATCTCGATCTCCTTCGCGTCGCCTCGCTGGTCCTCGCCTCGCGGAGACCGGCGAGGACGGTGTCGAAAGGCTGAGCGAAAGAGTTGCAGCGAAAAAGGAGTGCAGCTACTAGTAGCTACTAGTAACTAGGAACAAGAAGCTACTAGTAACAAGGTGCATCGCTACTAGGAACAAGAAGCTACTAGTGTGCAGCTTTCAACAAGAAAAGGAAGGCATTCGTTCTGATGGGGTGTCCATTGGCCTTTGGGCCCTTAGGAGAATGGTGCTGGAGCGGCTAGATGTTGCTGCCAAAATACATGCACCCTCTGCATTTTCTGCAACGTTGTCCACTTCATCAAAGTCCTGCAAACAAGTCCAAGGATCTCCTCTACATGCAACCTAGGTCTTTGGGAAGTGGTTTTTGGCACGAATCCTTCTGGACTGAAAGACATGCATTGTTTGCCAGGATACATTCTTTCTTGCTATTAGGTTGGAGGCCATCGCTACTGCAGAGTTCTGCAGATTGGAATTGGCTGCATTGAATTCATGCCAAGTGTTGCGCTTCATTTCGTCTGCACACACTCTCCAAAGAAACGCCTTCTTTCCTAACTTGTTCCTTCCTGTCTTTAGGCGTTTAGACCACCGTTTTGTACTCTTTTGTCTTTCTTTCTTTCTTTCTTGCTTTCTTGCTTTCTTGCTTTCTTTCTTGCTTGCTTGCTTGCTTGCTTTCTTTCTTTCTTTCTTTTTCCCTTTGTTCTCATCTGAACGTACGAAGAAAGGCGCTGGGTATTGGAGAAACGAGAACGCTCCTCGAAGTTGACCGCCTGGGCGAACTGCTCCGCGATGGCTTGCCGCGCGGCGAAGCCGTCCTGCGAAAGGGAGGCGTCACACGCGTCATACGCATCACCAACACTCCAAGTAGAGCCTCCAACCCAATAGCAAAAGGAACCCAATAGCGATGGTCTCCACCCTAGTAGCGATGGCCTCCAACCTAAGAGCAGTAGACGTGTCACGTGTGTTTCACATGTCACTCCTTCTTGTTGAGGTGAGAAATTCAACTGTTCTCTCTTTCGTACTCTGCTAAAAGCGACGATTCTTTTCTTCAACAAAATACACCCCCGGCACCTTGAGGGGATCATCCTCATCACACTCCTCCCCGTCGCTTGCATAATCGCCCAGGAGGCCTTGCGAAATGCAAAAGGAGAAAGCGCAAACACAGTCGGCAAAGCATCAAACCAAACCAATGGCAAAAACATACTAGTAGCTCCTGGCATTACTACTAGTAACAAGAAGCTACTAGTAACAAAGGGCATCGCTACTAGGGGCAAGGACGCTACTAGTAGCTCCTGGCATTACTACTAGTAATCCAAACGCGACACAATTTGATATCTCAGACATCCCTTTACACTCTTCTAGGTCATTCTTGCTTGCCAGTCATGAAGAACGCTCTGGTGGGACCCTCCTGTGCAACACTCTTTTTCAAGCATATTGCTTCTTGCCAAGAGGATCAAACAATTACTGTCAGGCGAGAGTGTCCTACAAGAGCATCCAACACCATCCTCGAGTTCCACAAAAAAGTTTCCCCAAAGCAAGAGTACAGGAACGTCACGCAAGAGTGTCGTTGCAAGGAAAACACATTGTGGGGACTCATGTCACTCTTTTTATCTTTCTTTAGACCTTTAGACCCTTTCTGTGTTCCTCCTGTATATATTGTTTATTGAAGTGTTTGACTACCTTTCAACGTTTTATTGTACTCTTGTTCACCAGGGGTGCGGGGACTCTTCATCACTTCACCAGCAGCGCAAGCGTACGTCAGCCGAATAACGGGCAACCTGCACACACCTACCTCGCGCATCGGAGGCTATCGCTACTAGTAACAAGGGCACTACTAGTAGCAAGAAGCTACTAGGAGCAAAGGGCATCGCTACTAG